TGCGATCGCCCAGAGCAGCCCATTTGTCGGCAGCTGAGCGCTTGGCCGGAGTCGTAATGCGGGCGGCCGTGGGAGCTGGCGTGCGGTGTTCCTCGAAAACGAAGCCAGTGGTCGCGCTAACGTGGTCAATAGCAGCACTTCGGTCCTTGGGCGAGCGACTCCTGGTGTTGTTAACCATGGCAGGGTTCTTCACCTCCACCAGGCCACCGCGGGGAGTGGATACACCAGATCCGGCCTCGGAAACAACCACCTTGGGTTGCTTCTCAGCAGCAGACGGAGTATAGCTGTTCTCTAGCTCGGCCAAGAACTGAGCATCATCATCTTCCTCATCCCAGAGATCGCTCCAGCTCTTCGAGAAGGCATCGCGCTTCTTGCCAAAGACAGACGCCATGCTATGATACGGCTTTGCGGGAAGCGAGCCAGAAATGGGCACGGGCTTGCTTCGAGTCATGTCCATGGCGCTCGACTGCGTGCTGTCAACGGACTTAAAGGACAAGCCTAGGCCAGAGTCCACAAACGATGCAGCAGAGGCAGTCGCTGGCTTGACATGGTAAGGAGGTCCGTTGAACATGTCCTCGGGGTAGATCTCCGTGTCAGGGATAGCCGATAGTTGACGAACGGGCTGCTGGGGCGACATGGCGAGAGCCTTGGCCCATGGGAACGAACCAGTGCCATCGAGCTGAGGCGTAGAGATGGACGGGGTACGAAGAGGCTCACGGTTGGCTTCCACAGCGACGACATCACGATCTTCGGTGCAGAACTCGTCCAGACTCTCATCGTCAGTAGTGAAGCTGATGACGCGAGCAAGCGCTTCCTTGACGGCACCGAGGTCGCGCCTCTCTGGATCAATGGCAAGGCAGTGCCGAAGAACCCCAAAAGTATCCTGAGACATGTTTGGGAACACGTCGAAGAGGCTCTGACGGTCATGCGCAAAGTCAGCGTACAGAGGATCCGAGGTCGAGGGCACGGCAAAAGGATTGCGCTGGAAGAGAACGTTGAGCAAGACGATGCCAATGGCCCAAATGTCGGCCTTTTCCGTAGAGTATCCGGTCTCGGTCGGGTCGAACTGTTCCGGAGCCATGTAGCGGTCACTGCCAACGGCAATCTCCCAAGACCATGGCTCCGAGGTGGCAAGACCAAAGTCGCCCAGCTTCATCAAACCATCCTGAGTGAGGAAAATGTTCTCTGGCTTGATGTCGCGATGATAGATGCCCTTAGAGTGAATGAACTCGACCGCAGCAACGAGTTGCAGCATAAAGTCGCGGACGTGCTCGGTCTCCAGTGGGCCCTTGTCCTGACGAATGGCTTCGTATAGGTCGCCATTGGAGCAGAACTCCAGAACGAGGTAGACGTGGTTCTGGGTCTCGAACGACTGCAGCATGTTGACAACGTTGGGGTGGTCACCGAGACGGAGATGGACACCGAGTTCCTCGGAACGTTCGTCGACTGCAAAGGCCGAAGGGCAATTGGCAGCGGCAGAAGGCTTGGTGATGACTTTGATGGCGACACTGTCACCAGTGACTAGGTCTTTGGCCTGGAAGACCATACCAAAGGAACCAGAATTGAGTGGAGAGATTGTCTCGTATCGTCCATGAAGTACAACGCCATCTTGAAGGTGGTTGCGCATACACTCCATGAGGAACGAGGGGATGAGAGTAGAATTGGGAGCGGGCCGAAGAGAGACTCGAACGGTCTACCCAGTGGCTAATCGCAGCAATGGAGAGGAGGTGAAAAGCTCGCGGCCAAACAACAAAGGAGCAAAGAGAATGAGGTAATGTCTTTTTTTTCGTGATGAACAACGAGGCGGACAGCCGTCAGCAGAAAAGCGATGCTCTATCAGACTTTTTTGATGACGGAAGTTTCGAAGAAGATAATAATATAATGTTTATGGGTCCCGTCCGAAAGTGGTCAGGATGGATGTTGGGAAAGCGTCGTCAAAAGGTAATAGGCTGCTGGATGTGTGGTGGGATCGCTTGCGGGAAATGGAAGAAGACAAGAACAGGTCGTCGGTGATATGCACAGGGGACCGTCGACGGTAAAAACAAGGAAATGGTTAAGAGAGTGTGGTTCTCATTTGTTGGTATTAATCGGCGGTATGGACGGCTCGAGTCAACGAGCTATCAGAGCGAAGAAAGGAGTAGAGGACGAAAAGGGTCGGCGGCGAGGTCCGGGGTGTCAAGGTACAATCGCTGCGTAAGAAGGAAGGGAGTCGTAAAGGCGTGGTACGGTCGTCGCGAAGCAGACAGGTGAAGCTACAGGCTGTCTGTATGACGTGGTTGGCAATGAGTCAGGCGCACGGGCTCACGGACGATTAGCAATGGGGGCCGAGGCGTCGAGAGGGTGCTATAGTGGGCGAGTTCGGCGGAGGAAGAGGCTGATTTGCTGGCACATCAAACGCAGTGTTGATGCAGTCCGAGAGATGTATGCAGCGCCGAGCAGTGGTGATGGTGGTGGTGGTGGTGTTGTTGTTGTTGTCTTTGTTGTTGTGGTCGGATGTTGATTGATGTGTGGTGGGTGGGTGAGTCGTGGGTTGATGATGCGAGCTGTCTGAAGGGGGTTCGGACGGCAAGCAGCGAGCTCCCCAGATCACATCAAAACAATGGACCGGCGGCGACTACAGTTATCTGATGGAGTAGATTTGCGCGGATGGTAGTCGATGATGGGGTGGAAGGGGGTGTATTGTCGAGTCGCAGGCAGAAGGTCAAGCACGGTTACAGATTGATTGGCGTTGTTGACGTCTGCTCGGAGAGTGCGCAGCGGTTGCAG